TTTTAAGCTAGAACAAAGCAGCAAATGAATGTAAGAACTTATATTCTGACCATATTAGTTAGGCTTAGCTTATAAGACAGAAAAGTAAAACAATAACTGGAAAAACAGCACGTGGGTCACTACTTCTTTGCTTTAAAGGAATAAAAACCTTCTTTTCACTTTTTCATGCCGTCCAATTAATCCTTTGAGAACAATTCGTGATGAAATCAATACGCTCAAGTCACCCCTCAACTCTGCCAATGAAGGCAATAAAAGGAAGATGACGACAGAAATTTCCTTGAACATTTCACTCTGCAGGGCTGTTTGATGTGCTCCCTATTTGACCTCCCGTTATTGTGCACACTCCAGCCGAGTTCTTGGTCATGTTCTTGACACAAAGCCGGGCATGCTGAGCATCCTGCCATCAGGACTGGTTTCCACCACTTTATTTAGATTCAAGCAACAGTTCACAGCTGCACATGGAGCTGGGTTATAAAGGAATGCAAAACACAGGTGTCTCTGCGTACAGCCTTGAAGTCATCACATCTCGGAGTACGTATTTACTGGCTGTGCCCCTTTTGTTTTCAGTTGATGGACCTCATTTGCTGTGTGGATAATGAGCTGAAGGCAGCTGTGTCTGGGCAAGATGAGCAGCTGCTCTCTCATTGGTCGGCTGCTTGTTGCTTGTGTCTGGAGAGGGATGGTTTCAGGATGTTTTTCCACATGACAGATCACTTATCCACTTTCTCAACCCCCCCACTATTTATATTTGGAGTTAATTTTTTTTTCCTATAACCTTCCTACACTTCCCTCTTCGACATGGTGTTCTGTAGTAGAGAATGAAACACCTCATTCTGAGAAAAGGTGAAGAGGGAAAAGGTGAATAGGTGAATGGAAGTGCAGGGTCTTGATCACTGAAGGTCAACTTCAGGTTTGTGAGCATCACTTTTAACGACATTTAAAACTTCTTAAAATAAATTCCTTTTTTTATTGCAGTAGCATGATCTCATACCAGAAAATTCTGAGAAAGTATCCTACCTTTAATTTTAATACAATTAGTCAACGGGAGAAAAATACTATAATACATTTGCTGCATGTTTGTTTTACATGTTTGTTGCGTCATTACTGACAACAATTACAGCAGTCATTGTCAAGAACCTATTTCCTTGCATTTTTAATATGACACAGAGACACATTTCTCATAGACATCACTTAAAATAGGAAATACAAGAGAACATCACTTTCAAGTAAGGCAGATGTGTATTGATCCTTGTTATGAAATGGCTACATGAGAACAGCTCCTTGCCGAAGCTAATCCATATGCAAAGTTAGAGCAATAATTCACATTTGAATCAACTTGAACTTTGACAAGCAAGGATGTACCCAAGTTTATCTTGTCGCTGCACACAATGAGAACGAAAGTAAGGAAGTGAAGCCAAATCTCTAAAGCTTACTGTTAGACGGCTGCACAAAGATTGACATTTGGAGGTCACAGAGGCTTTTTAACAACCACTAGATGATGCATAAATATCTACCAGTTGTGTGCAATGGCACTACCACCTTGAACATAAGCAAGTTCACAGAAATTGTTTAGAAAATTAAGCTGTGCTCATCCCCAGACCTAAACCTTGTAAAGGTGGACTGGCCAGAGACGCCCTCTTATTTATGACCCAACCTTGTGAAATGTTTAAGAAGTAGAATAGACATTGTATCAAGAAGTGTCTCCAGCAGCAGCAGAGGTAGCTGTCACACCAGCAACTTTCTAAAATGCAATTATTAGTCGAGATGTAATTCTTTTCACCCACTGGATAAACACAGACTCAAATTAAAGGTTGGATTTTTCAAGGTGATATTATGTTGCTTACACGAGGAGCTTGACTTGTTCCAACTGCTTTTTGCACATCTTCATCAGAAGGTGCAAACAAGTCTGGATTTACGCCGCATGCACTTGTTTTCCCTTTACAGTCTTTTGGTCATGACTGAATGAAAACCTGCAACATCAGAGGCATGTTTGACCTTTGGTGGGCTCAACAAAATTAGAGCAGAAATCTAGCGTGTGCCCATGTTTCACCTTGGACCGGCTCGTTTGACTCCATGTTTGGTCAACACAGCACTCTCCCTTATGTTCTTTTAAACAGACGGATCGATTGAGACAGATTTGTGGTCTGTCTGTGTTTGAATTTTTAATCCTCTTTCGTTCCATTCTTGTGGGTGTCCATGGCAGCAGACTAGTTGTCATTCTGCCACTTCGGTTTATAATTTACACTACAGTCTGAAGAGGTTTTTCCATTCCTTTACCACGGTATGAAAAGACCCAACTCGTTTGCAAAACCAGTCATTATTTTTTTTTATTTTATTTTTTTTTTCATCAGAGTTCACCTTCTCCCGCTGAACTACAATCAACTTGTCTTGAAGTGCAGAAAAGATTTTTCTTCCCTGAAATTGGTGCACAACCGTCCTTGAAGATTCAAGGCCATGCAGCTACAAATTTAGAACACTTATGTAGGCTAGCTCTTCGGCAGGGAAGTAAAAATACCTTCACTTTATTATAAATGGACCATGTTTGCTGTCTGAGGAAATGTAGTTTCTAACACATTGAGCAGACGGGCAATATAACCCTGTGATTATTATCACTGAATCCAAAGCAAGTTAATGGGGTAAAGTGTTTTCTTTTATGCAAACAGTGAAGGAGCAGGTAGAATTAAATGGCATGATTAATTTGCTTCCCTGCTATAAAAATATTCATTGATCATCTCTAGATTCATATGGCTCACAAAAAGCTTTGTGTCTGTATCACATCAGAAGAACAGAAGAGACCAACAAAGATCTTTTTTTTTTCCTATTATAATACACTCAGCTGTAAGGTACGCAAGTTGCAAGTTGCAACTTCTCTAAAGTTTGGGAAAGTTTTGTCATGTGGAACCAAAATCCAAGTTGTTATGGTGTAGGGCTGCTTGTCATTAGATGGTGCCAGAAAATGTCATTTATGTGGAAAAAGGGCTGAATAGAGATAAGTGCTGAGACATTACAACAGAATCTGAAAATGAAAGAAAAGAGGAGCCATACAATCATAGCAGACCAACCAAATTGGTTGTATGATTAGTATAAGAAATTGGTTTCAGAGAAGAAGATAAAGCTGTGAGAATGTCCCAGTCATTCACGTGACTGCAGCAATTCAACAAAAACAACCGAAGGTCACAATGCACAAAAGTGAAGACAGTTTATATGGAAGAAAGATCATGATAGATGAAAGGTTTGCAGCATTTGTGAGATTTGAAATGCTTTAAGAAAAATAATCCACTCTGGCTTTAGCCCTTCTTAGATTTACCATTAGCTCTAGCCATTTATTTTAAATGAAGACTTCAGTAGGTAACTACTTCAAAAAACATGTACTATCCCTTTTTAGTAGAATTTTCTCCACACTGCTCCAGTTCATGGTACCCTCCATCCACAGTGTCTCTGCTCTTGCACGTCACTCTAATGTTAGAAAATGATGGCGTTTTTCACTACCGTCATTCAGAAAGGCTTTTGTTGCATTGTAAGCCCCCCCTTTTTACTCCCTGCTGGGATGTGGGCGATACCTATCATCTGCAGTGTTACTGCAGTCATTCACTCCAGAGAATGGGAAACTGTCAATGGCAAATTTAGTGCTGTAAAAAAGAGACATCGTCTTTCATGTCAGTCCCTCGCATCTACTCGTCTCTCATCTTCCTGCAAGTGGGATGCGTTCGGGGATCCGGCGCCTCATCTGTCGAAGAATTGTATTCCCACTGCCACAATTACAGGGTAAAGTTGCAGCACAAACAGGATACATGGGAATGCAGAAGGAGAAACAGAGTTAGGGGAAAAAGAGGAGGGGATAACGTGGGATTAGAAAAGGGAATCCGAGGCAGACATGTACAGGGTGTCCTTTGTTTTGTTTTTTTTTTAGTTTTATAGAAATGTCCAAATAAAGGCGAAGTCACTTGAAACAGATGATCTGAGGAGCTTTACTGCAGCATATAAAACTTAAGTAAATCACCAAAGGCTGCAGCAGGCTAAGACATGGTGTGTATACTCAAGACGAGTCGCATCATTGCTCATTGTGGACTTTATTGCCCCATTTCACAAGCTTCAAAAAGAACAAACACTTACGTCGATAATTGCGTCTCACATCGCCAAGTAATGACATTTCCAACAGGGTTGATTGAACCTCAGCAGAAAGTTGCTCGCCCCAGCACAAGATCCAGGTCGTCTTCATGCACCTGTAACTAAACTAAACTCATAACGCTCACCTCACACACAAAATGCCGCCCGCAATCAGAGACCACCATGACAGCATGACAGGTTAACAGAGAGAGAACATACGTAATGTATGGCTCTTACGAGCAGCAACAAGTTCAAAAACGTAACACAAAAGAAACAGGAGTAACCAAGGAGAGTCACAAAATTTTCTCTACCGTAAGCATCCAATATCTTCGTGTGTGCTAATAAAGTAAGGACTGTACCAAAAAATATTCAGTTGAGTTTATGGTGGCAGTATTGTTCACTTCATTTATGCTCATGTAGAAATGCTGAATTACTATGATCAACAGAACTCTGTCTTACGATGTTAAAATTTCATCTAAGAAAGTACGTTTGTAACTCATCCCATCCACACTAAGCTAAAAGGAATTAGTGGGTAGCTGTGCTGTGAAGATTCTTAACACTCATATGGTAAAATTTTTTTAGCTTTTCCCGATATTTAGTACAGATGTTTCTGATCCTCAGAGAATAAGGCCTCAGAAATATGGCCATTTTATGGGTTGTCCCCATGTTTTTGATTTTAAATGAAAAATTAAATGAGTCATTTCTGGGTGTGTTGAAATGCTTTTTAAGAGCAGACAGTTTTGCCCCCTTTAGAAGGAAATACTTTGCAGATCATTTTTCAAAGAAACATGTCATGCTTTTCCAATTTCCTTTTTTTTTTTTTTTTTTTTGCTTGTATATTTCGGTTTTATTTGAAGTAATTGAGTCAATACAGTGTTGTATAAAAGGATTTAGCCTGTGACAGGCTTCCTGTATTTTTTTTTTTTTTTGTCAATTTCCTTTAGACCTGTACTGTTAGCACATCACTCATATAGCACCTGTCTGACAACATGAAGTAGGCTAGGTGATCTCAAGAAGAAGCCCATCATCCCCTGATCTGAAAAGATATTTCAAGAACAGATGAGAAACAGAGTCCCCGGAGTCTTTCTGTCTGGAAAGAGTTATGAAGCCATTTTTGAGGCTTTGGGACTCCAACAAACCACAATGAAAGAGTCGCCAGCCTTCTATTATTACCACTAGTGTGACTCAATGACCTATCCAGAAGTTTTCAAAGGGAACCTAAAGCAATATCTGAATCCCAGTATGGCCCCTCTTGCATCAGTGTTCAGCCAGGTATTGTGAATCAGAGATTTAGAGAAATGACAGCAGTAGGGCAGTCGATTGCTGACCAAAAACAACATAAAGGCCTGACTCACATTTTTCAAATAGTAATAATAATGATAAAATGTAATAAGACTTCGGAAAATATCGTGTTGACCAACAAGAAAGATGTCAAACCATTGTGAAGAAGTGCATTACTCATTACATCTGGTGTAAAATTAGATCTGAAATCTGCCAGTCAAGCTATCCCCTATTTGGCAGAACTGAAGACTTGGTCAAAATGCCTTCACAGTGAGAAGGTTTTTTAGTAGAAGTAGTTGTAATTGTGAATCTTTTTTTTTTTTTTTTTTTTGGTTCCTGTGGTCTTCAGGTTGGGAGTGGATGATCACTCCATGGAGCATTTTCTTGCACGATCAGGTTGTGAGGTCCACTGCTTTGATCCTAGCCTGGAGCAACCTCACCTACAAAAAGCAGAAATGTGGTTCCACCGCATCTCTATAGACTGGAGGGACCCCAGTCCAGCAATTGCCCCTAAAAGACAGGCAAGCAAGAAACTGGCCACCATCCTCGATGACTTTGGACACAGAGACGTAAGTGGCAACGCAGATCTGTATTTATTTATTTTGTTGTTTCAACGTTATTTGGGCGCTCCGTGCAAGTACCGATCCATTCGTGCACCTCACCACGAATTATTCCTCACTATGATTCCTCTCCTGGGTGTCTGTCTCAAGATCCAAGTGAACATCCCACCATTTCAGCTGGCAGCTGAAAGATCCAAATTTAAAGACGACTCTTGGCTAGAAAGCCTCTTCTTGTATATAGACGGGTTTTTTTTTAAAAATCCTAGTTCAACTCCAATTTCAACTCATTTTCTGGAATCTGCCAGTTTATTGCAATGATTCAGTTTGTGAAATGCACAAATATAACATTGTTGTTGTGTGTGTAGTGTTTGGGTGGGCACAGTGTGCTGGTTTACTGAAGATAGTAGTCAACCTGCTTGAAATGCAGGGCCATGCACACATCCTCATAATGAGATTTTAATGTGAGTACTCGGTGTGCCAGCGGAGCAAGCAAAGGCACTGGCAGAATTGTTCTCTCTTAAAAGGTTCTGCCAGGCCCCTCAGACAGGAAACAGTCACTCACAAAGGTTAACGCATGCATTTGTGCTGCCTGGAGCATTGATCTGCAATGGGTAAAAACTGCACAAATGACTCTTTTACGGAGCTCTGGTGACCGACTGAGACAAAACACTCACAACGACTCACAAAGAAGCAAATGTCAGTTGCCGAATGTCGCGTCTTGTTTGGAGAAAAGAACTACGTATTGGATAATTAACTGCACTATAAGCCAATAAAATCACATTAACAGGGCTACTCAGTCCTCCAACCAGACTTGAGGTGACCAATCCAGTATTTCTTATACCTGCTCTTCAGTTTGCAAACACATGATTTTTTTTTCCCCCCCCTTTTTTACTTTTACACATCTGGTTTAAATTCATGCCTGTTCACCAAACATCTACAGAACTCCATAAGAAGCTGATAAGGTAAGTTATTACATCAAATGAAGTACTTTACCACCAATAACTGAAATATGAGACAACTTTAAGATTCTATAAGGTTTTCTGGTATTTTTCTTCAATTTTTTAACTACATCTAGAGGCTTGAAATATCCATAATAATTTTTCATCTCTTTTTCACATTTTGTTATGTTATATCCCTAAACTTTGATAGATCTTATTGGAATTCAATATGTCAGCACCAAGTAGCGGGCACATGAAGTGAAAAGAATGGCATACAGCTTTCAAAATCTTTTAAAAATAAAAATCTGAGAAGTGTGGCGTGAATGTGCACGCCGGTCCAAATAGTCAACACTTTGCAAACTTTGCCACCTTTCACCACAGTTACATGATGCTGCCAGCATCATGTATAACAATTGGGATGACAATTGGGAATACAGTGGTATTCCACCTTACTTTCTCTATTCCAGATTAGTAAAAAAAAAAAAAACACAAAAAAAAAACAAACTTTAAATGGGCAGTATTGTGTAAAATCGACTTTTTTGATCTTCACATTAGGTTATAATGTTATTCCCTCATCAAAAACATAACAGAAGTGTTGCCTTGAGTCTTCCACGCATGTTTGAGAAATCCTTTAATCACCCGTTACAACCATGCAGCTGTGCAAAACGCCTGGAAGGACCGAGCACCGCCTTCCCGGGGCAGCTCCTCCTCAGAGCTGCAGCTTCCAAGCTTCCGAACTTCCGCCAAACAGAGCAGTCACCCCTTTCTGCTCTCCCTCTCAACTCCTTCAGACTAGCCAGGAGCAAATAGCACACACCTGGTTGAACTGTGGAGCTCATTATACAAACTGATTCTCAGTTCCATGCTGATAAAAGCATTATTAAAGATAAGATCTAGTGAACAATCACAACTACCTTGGAAAATTACAAAAAGTTTGACTTCTTTAAAACGAAGCTAATATAAATAAAAGACGATTTAACACTTCTCTGCAGAGCACTTACAACAGTTTTATTTATTTATTTAGTCTCGTGAAACTTGTTATTTTACACTAAGAAATGCTCAAATGTCATCTTTGGTGCATCTATAATTTCTAATTTGCTCTTCAAAGCAAAAACTTATCTTTAACTTTTAAACCCATAAAGGTCAGAAACGGGGCAACTTTAGTAGTTTGCAAAACCTCTGATCAAACTCAAGGTCCTGGAGAGATGCATTAAGCACTGAGCATGCACGAGTCTATTTACATAAATATGACCTCAGGGTGCTATTAACATTCATCTTAGGAAGCAATTCCTCCCCATTCCATCCCAGCAAGCCCTGTCAAGTTGTGCCTCGGCTCAATCCATCATCAGCACTGCTGAAGCAACAGCCGAGGCCAAGCTTCACTTACTCCTTTTACATCCTTTAATAGCTTTTGAATTCAATAACTCGTTGCACCTTAGTGTTATTATTAAGCTACAATAGAACTCATTTATTATCTAGGTGTGAAAGAAATCGTTTTTTTTTTTTTCCCCCCAAATCTTTTTTTTGTCCCTGTGTTCTAGGTGGATGTACTAAAAGCAGACATGGAGAGCGCGGAGTGGAAGATATTGGAGAACCTTGTTCTGGAAGGAGTCCTGGATTCCGTGGGTCAGCTGCTGCTGGAACTTCACCTGCACTGGGCGGGCTTTGAGGTGGCCGGCGACGACCCATCTGTGGTGCGGTACTGGTTCAGCCTGCTGAAGGAGCTCGAACGAGCTGGCTTTCGCCTCTTTCGCGTCCACAGCGATCCGAGCACACCTCACCTTTTTTTACACAAGAACATCTTGAATGCCAGCAGCGCCTACACCCTGAGCTGGGTGAACGTACGGTGGAAGCCTTCATGGACGGCACATAAACATAAAAAGTTAATCTTTTAGACTCGGTCTCTGGTCTGTGACGACCTCTCACATAGATGAAGTAATTACTTCCAGAGGCTCTGTGTTTGTTGGCTGCAGGTCAGCCCGATTTAGACATTCTTGAAGCCTGGCTCACGGCCAGCCGTTCCATCTTCATAAATACTACGGCCAAAAGACCACACAGGTTGTACAGTGGATACAAAACATACATATTGTTCCAAGGAGAAGGTAAATGAAAGAGCCTGCCTCTCTGAAAGTAAGTGAATATAAAAAAGAAGCAATTTGTACTGCCTACAAAAGGCAGAATGCTATTTACAAGAATACAATCTTTCTCCACACACTTTATAAGGTACAGCTTGCTAGTATCTTTTCCTTTTCCCTTCAGAGCATAGATTCAGCAATGTGTCAGAAACAGTCTTCACAGATTTTCTTGAATATTGACATGACAGCATCACACAAATCCTGCTGAGTGGTTGGCTGCACATCCATGATAGGAATCTCTCGTTCCGCCGCATCCCAAATGTGCTCTGTTGGACTGAGATTTGGTGACTGGCAGAAAGTGGACTACACCGAGATCAGTGTTGTTAAAGAAACCAGCCTGGGAGGATTTTAGCTGGGCTACGTGGTACTAAAGTCATCCACCTCCTACCACCTAGAAAGTGAAATCACAGTTCCATGTTATCTGACCATCTACCATCTCAATGTAATAGGTCAAGTGGTCTGATGTTTTCTTGTTTGTTCTCTTTGGTGAACTTGTTCAAACCACGGCCTCAAATTCTTGTTCCAGCTGGCTGCCACGTCACCAAGTAGGGTCATCTGAGGCAGCATCTGCTTGAAGGTTTAATATGTGATGCATTCAGGGATGGTATTTTCCAATCAATCGTCATTTGAGATACTCTGCCTTGCCATCCATCTTGCACTGATTTTCCTCTGCCATCAATGAGGCGTTATTGTCCAGATAACTGAAAAATATATCCTGTGGATTTTTCTAATCTACCAGCAAGTCATTCTTCTCAGATCACTCCTGCTTGTGGCAAGGAACATTATCATGCTTAAATAGGACACTTCCAGAGGTAAGCACAGTATCCAAAAAATTGTACTCAAGTAAGAGAAGCACTACTTCAACATAAAAGTAAAAGTAAAAAGCAGTCATCCAAGAAATTACCCGAGTACAAACCATATTTGGTAAAAGGTCTACACAAGTACTGGGTAACTGATGAAATTATCATTTAATATTTAGAAATGACATCATCAGATGGATCAAATATAAGGTGGGAAGTTAGTAAATTTAAGGACGAAAATGACAATAATTCATACAAGTAGCAAAAACCTATGAAACTTCAACAAAAACTACAGGTTTGTTTAATTGTAGCAAGTAGCGACAGTTCATAATAAAATTACTCAAGTAAAAGTAAAAAGCACAGTGTAGTAAAAATACTCCTAAAAGGACATTTTTCAAAAACAAATTACATTTACTCCAATTACATTAAGTAAATGTAGCTAGTTACTACCCAAATTTGTCCTCTGCCAACAGGTGATGTTTCCATGAATGAGGGTAGATGCTCTACAAGAATGCGTATGTAGGCGGTACCTAATAAAAGTAACATCCACATCGGTAGCAGGACCCGTGGTTTCCCTGGGTTACCCTACACATCTAAGTGCCTCGGCCAGCTTGCCTTCCTCCTGCAGCTCCACCTCTCACAGATTCTTGAATGTCTTTGTCCTCGTTTGTATTCCCACCTTTTTATGGGTCATAAAGTTAGAATACTGGGAATTTTGTGGGTCTAGAATAAAATATCAAATCACACTGCTGTTGTGTGCAGATAAGATCAAATGTTTCACACGCTCAGCTTATATATATATATTTTCTCCCTGACTTTGTGTTTGATGATGGTTAAAGAAATAAATTTTGCACCACAAATCAGTTTCATTTTCTAAAATAGGAAATGGGCAGAATGTTTATTTCCACAAAAGGATGTTTAGATGATTAAAAACACTTTGTAGAACAAGAAATTTAAAAAAGAACAGAACACTACTAAAAATAAAAATACGTGTCGTTGACCCTGTAATATTTCTTTTGCCATATCATTGTTAAAGATTCCAATATGCTCATTCTTGTACACACACAATATGTACATATTTGAGCTTTTATTTCAAGATACAAAAATACACTTAAACAAGTAGACTGGATACCAGCCTGTTGGCTTTCGCTCAAAACTATTTAATAAAGTCCAAGAATCACTGACTTCTGCACATAATTTTAGACGCCATCAGAGTTAGTCCCAGAGTTTGATCTGTCCATCCCAGCCGCAGGTGATGACCTTCGAGGTTTCGTGCGGATGCCACAGAGCACTGATGCAGACTTTGTCGTGAGCCTTGATCCTGTGATAGAGCTTGGTGGTCTTCCAGTCCCAAATGTTCAGCTTTCCATCTGCATCCCCCGATACCACATAGCTGGAAGAAAGACAGCAGTTCAGTAGGAGGAAAAAGGTGGAAGACGTGGCTTTAAAGTCTATTTTTTTCTTTTCTTTTTCTTGTCTGTCAGAAGTTGTGGTGCAGCAATGAATAATGACAGAAGGTTAGAGTATCTGTAAGCCAATGTGTGCAGTGGTGGGCGAGACATGGACAAAAATTAAATGAAAGCTGGATTGCCAAAGTTCATGTAATTATAGATTTTTTTTTCTTCTAAGCTCATCAGTAAATGGAAGTTCTTACAAAACAAATTAATAAGGAAGTCTTATAGTAATAAAATCCTCTGTTAAAATGTTATGGTATTTATAGTTAGACTGTTACCTGTCACTATTATTGTTATTCTGACTTTGAGATGCACTGAAGTAAAAATATAAAATAAATACACACTGAATTTAATATTTTCCTTCCTGCTTATTAGATAACAACCCTGGTGGCCCACCATTAATTTATTCATAGGCTTTTTTGTCATTGATATTTGAGAAACTTCCTCTGGTTTTTGTTCGATCAGAAAACACCCTACCTCATGTCTGGGGAGAAATCCACTTGGCAGGCGTAGCCGGCCACCATGTGACCCTTGAAGATTTTCTTTTTGTTCAGTCTGAAGCGATTCTGGGCTCCAAAGATAAGAATCTGGTTGTCCATGGACTGGCACGCCAGCCATTTACCTGAAATTAGAAACCAGCGTGTGTAAACAGCGGGAGAAACTCGTCTTTCCCAAGCACAGTTTAAAAGTCTTGGCAAAGCAGCACAAGATGTTTAAAAGGGAAGGGGGGTAAAAAATGTTTATTATCAAGTGAAGCGGCATTAAAGCTACAAGATTGTACAGAACATTTTAAATTGCCTGTTAGCTCACTTCTTGGCCTCATTTGCATGGCTCTGTACAGCCAGAGGTTTAACAAGCAGACACCGAGATCTTTGAAGTCGTATTTTTATGCTGCTGCCGGTCGAGTTGTAAACCTAGCATCTAAATTCAGGACTCGAATATTTTAGCTAGAAAAACAGCAGAAACTTGACTCGAGCATAAAACTTTTAAAATAAAAGGAGGACAGTTCCCCAAGAAGGGCACGGGACCCATCGTTCTACCTTCATTAAATGAGAAAGATTGAAGCAATTTTAGAAAAATTAGGCAGGCTTTCTCATCATTAGGTGCTCAATTATAATCTGTTTCGCGCTGCGTTTCAGCTCTTGACATGACGACAGTTTCAAGTCACTACACAGCAAAGGGAAGCAGTAAATCACTTTCAGGGCATCACACAACTCACTGCACCTCTTAACAGGAACATGATTATTAATGAGGTATGAAAGCAAGGTATCCAGTCGGTGTGTACGTGCATGTTACATCCCTCTCCAGAAAAAAAAAAAAAGAACCTTTAAAAAGCCCCGAAATGTCTACTGTAATAGGTACAGGAGAGCAAAAACAACTTTCAGTGAAATAGGAAGACGCAGGGGACTCAAAAGAACAAGAGACCGTAGATGTGGCGCCAAGGGGGGGCCAGGTGTCATTTAGGGGTAAGAGAAAACTGAATGGTTTCCCACTGAGAACACATTCATTATTCACACGCCGCGGAAAAACAAATCATGTTGGGACAAATACAAACGTCGACCAGGAGGAGGGAAGAGAGTAAAAAAAGAGAACATGAGGGGAAAGGGATTTAGGCAGGTGGAGAGGAGGGAGCAAAAAGCTGAGTAAGGCCCCAGCTGAAGATGATGGGCTGCAACGCAGAGCCTATTAATTGGAAAACCAAGAGCTGGAGCTAAAGTGGAATGTCCATTTCTGTTAGTGTTCCTTATACAACTTGGTTGCTGTCAGATTCAGTTTCCATTCCCACTCAAAGTTTTGCAAAAAAAATAAAAAAAAAAAAAAAAAAGCAAAATTAATCTATCCTAGTGTGTAAAATCTGCATAATAACCCCGAATGCTCTTGTCACACATCTTGATCTGTTCTTAATAAGCATCTGACAACATCAATATTCAGTACAACTGAGACACAGTGCCAGCAGCAAGCCTGCACTACATAAATCATAATACTAATTTCCAACATGCCTGGGCTCAATACATCTGCCCATAAGGAATAGACTGACATTTGGAAAGACGCACTTCTTCACTTCCTTGGCGGGTTTTAATGGGAACATCAATAACGCCTTCAGATCTGTATGTTAATTATGACGCTAAACCGAGGAAACAGTTTGCTTATCGTTGCAAAAAGACAAAAAAAAAAAAAAAAAAAGGGGGGGGGGAAAAGAAAGACACCAGCCGGGGTCTGTTGGTCGGAAAAAAAAAAAAAATTCCCTATCAGCATTTTTAAATGTTTGTAGTTTAGGTGCTTTAGGTGGACGGGTACATCTGCGATTTAAATGCTTTGCGATTTCATGTCTTGGTGTACCGGTGGACCTTAATAAATCAGAGTGTCATTTTAAACTTTCTTTAATTTATAATTAAGTTCTAAAGTGAAACTCCTGTTATTTAGATTCATTGCATACACAATATGATTCTTTTCACTTGTTTACTTAGTCAGGGCTTGTTCCGCATGAATATTTATAATACCATACTATGTGACACAGAGGTGAGTGGCCTGCGGTTCTGCTGAGGTTTTAAGGAAGACTGGGTTGCATCCATCCCTATTGCTTATGCACGCCTTCTATATCACGTTTTCTTTTCACTTACTTTCACGCTTGGATACAAGAGTTAGCCTCTTTTAGTGGGCATCAATTAGGGATGGCCGATAAATCAACAAAAATATATATCATGATAAAGATGCGTCATCCATACGAAAAGAAAATATGTCCAGTAGAATTTCACTGAACTCCGGTGCAGAACCGCACAGCATTCTGGGGGATGTAGTCAGAAGAAAAGCTTTAGTAGCTCGACCAGGTGGCATCAATTAACTCACTCACTCATTGGTAACCTAGCAACAAACCACTGAGTAACACCTGTGCAGCAGGAGCTCATCTTAAAAAAAAAAAGACAATGATGTGGAGTGAACGGAGAAAATGAGCGAAACAGGTCATGAGGAAATTGTAGATAAAACAGGAAAGGTGACATCACCGGTTCATATATTTAAAGCAGAAAACAAATCAATACAAAACAAATAATTATAGACAGATGTGAAACACGTCTATTGTGATTTCTGCCGTGTCGTCCAGCCCCAGTCTCAACATCTGCCACCTCGACAAATGACAAGTCGGCAGTCTTCCCTAATATTATACAACACTTTGGTATTATCATTTCATAATCATGAAAGTGAACAAAACTTACGGCCCTTCCCAGTGCCAAATAATATGGTTTGCAACAGATGCAGAGGTCTTTGTTCATAACAATTCGCACAGCTGTAACCAGGTGGGAAGCTGCAGGCTGAGAAACTCGGAAATCCAGTTTACCAACAATACAGAAACAACCACAGCAGGCTTGCAGACCACAAACTCTTTAGACTGACTCGGTTTATACCGACTTGTTCTGCAAATCTCGTGCTGTTTTACTCCTCTGAGAAACGGCCAACCTTGGGCAGTATGAATCTACATCAGTGTGGTAATGTAGGTTTGAGTTCCCTAGAGTCCTCCACTCTATGTTGCAGTTTGTGTGTTTTTTTTTTGTTGTTTTTTTTTTGTTTTTTTTTCCAAAATATCAGGGGACTCACCATTGGGAGACAGAGTCACAGCTGGCATGGAGTGCATACTGGGCTCAGCGATGTACTTGAAGTCCACAGGGATGTCCCTGAAAAAGACACAAAGCCTGGTGATCCCATAGGACAACGGATTAAGCACCGGTTCAGCCTCTACAACCCCAAAGGGAAATAGTTAATAAACCTCTCTGCTAACCTCTGCTGTTCTGTCTGCGAGCCTGAAAAATACTTAACACCGA